TCACCAGGTCACTAAGATATTGTTGTCATAATATATGTCTCCCAAATCACCTGAAATTGTTTTACTCTATTCCAGAGAGATTTACTAGAAGGTGTCTCACAAAATTGTATTACTTTAAATTTGGTGAATTGTCAAAGATGTCCTGCTTCAATTATCCTACTTTTGTCTGTGAAGTGTAGGGTGTAAATTTAACTATCATTATAATATGAAAACCCGAATGATGATAATAAGACTTCCTTTTGTTTTCATCAATCCCAGCTGCACACTACGGGCATAATAGATCTTTTCAGAATGTCATTAACCCTTTGTCTCTGCCCTTAGGGACTTCTCTGTCTCTGCTTCAAATTATTCTTCATTGTCTACTCTAAGTAATTGTTTTATCTTTTGGTCTTTTCATTTCTAGTTTTTTTATAACTTTCTCTAGTGCTACCAGATACCTGAGGCTTCATGAAGTTAAATATTAATAATTTTACCACCATGTTTTACTTTCTATTCTAGAAAGTGGAAACAATGAAATAAACATACTTCCTTTTACTCTTAATTGAACATATAATAATTTCAAATGCTATATATTTCATTGAGTGTTCATTTCCTAAATTCTATTTTCTCACTTCCTTCTGATTTATTTAGGGTTCTCTGGTAGCAAATTTAAGCAGACTCTTTCTACTGTTTGATTTAAAAAAAAAAAAGATGACATCAAAGTTCTAATATAGTTTAAAATTTACAAAATCATGTTTAGAAAAGGGCAAGAACAAAGACTATATGGACCAATAATAGGACATTCAGAATGGTTTCTTAGCAGAAAAGCTAGATAGGATTCCATCTTTATAAAAAAAAAAAAGCTGAACATTAGATTATCATTATTTGGTTAATTGCTATTATTTGGTTAAAAGCATTTAGTTGTCTGAGCCTAGCCATATGATCAATTGTTGGTACTATTCCAAGTCAGAGATAAGATCTATCTGGCCATTTGGTATCCATAGTAGAAGGATCTACCATCCCACCCAAGGGGAAGAAAGGATTACACTAAAAGAAATCTATCTTCTATTTGGAATGGATAGAGTGATAAGGATGATTTAAAAATATCAAAGGTTACCACAGAGATTTTGTCCAATATTAGTTGCCGAAACAGCAGATGACACTTTAAATTATTAATTTAATCTTGATGATTGACAGCTTCCTTATCAATGTATATTTCTTTTTTAATACTTGTAATTTTACCTCTGGGAAAATAAACAGATTTTTTCTCTGTCTCTGTCTCTGTCTCTGTCTCTCTCTCTCTCTCAGGAAAAAACAAAACAAAACAGCAACAACAACAACAAAAAAACAGAGACTAAAAGAAGAAAAGATCAGCCCAGGACAGTGGCACTTGCCTATAAAGAGGCCAAGGCAGGAGGATTATGAGTTCTAAGCCGGAGTCAGCAACTTAGTGAGACTCTTGTCTCTAAATAAGATACAAAATGGGCTCTGCATGTAGCTCAGTGGTTAAGTGCCCCTGGGTTCAATCCCAGGAACCAAAGCAAAAAATTTGATTAAAAGACATTCAACATTTAGAAAACTCATTCTCATTGCAAAGTTAATAAAGCTAGTGGAAGTTAATATGTCCCATTTTAAGAAGTACCAGGAAATGATAATGTCTGTTAGCATATCCACTTAGGGAAATACTTTATATCAAATGATAAGATCATTAAATTATATCTTATATTCATTAATGAAACTATTTCTATGTACTTATAGATTAATATATTCTTATTTTTTTATACTCTTGCTTTTTTCAGTTTCTCTCTCTCTTTTTTTTGTTATTGGTCAACTTCTTCCATATAAGGTCACAATGATTAAGAGAGCCCTGTTTATGCTTTCATGTTTGTGGAGCTCATTAAAAACACATCAAGGCCAATTCATAACATAATTTTTAAAACAGAAGTTAAACACAAAAGTTTCTGGTGAGTAGAAAGGGAAGAAAATTAAGATAACTTTAAATGTTAATGGGAATCTATAAATTTATATTTAATTTTGGATATCTTTACTCTTGAACAATTTGAGGACTTTGAAGGACAGTAGGGATTATGATACCCATAGTTAGGTCTCCTTATCTATAACCTCACCTTATTAAATACAAAAATGAGGAAAAAAAGATGAAGTTACATAAGCAAAAAAGTTTCTTTTTTAACATTCAAAGGCAGAGAAAAGTGGAAAATGTTATTTTCTCATGATGTAGTCGATGAAATTATAATGTCTTAAAATATCCTAATAGTTTCTTCCTATCTTATTGTGGAACTTTAGTTTTTCAAGTTCACAGATCTCTACTCTTAGTTTCTACCATTAAGAACAGGTTTTTTGGTAATCTTTATTCTTTAGGGAAAAATAAGGCTTGAAAATAAAATAAAAGCAATGATTTTTTAATTTCATAAATGAAACTATGACATTTAACATCTACATTTATAGTAAAAAAAAAAAAAACAGGCCCAGTTTTTTCATGAATCCAATGCATTTTTAAAATATTCTAGTTTTAAAGAGACCAAATAAAAAGATAAAGAAGGTTTTTAAAATTATGGAAAGTTGGATTCTAATCATTATAGAATGTTTGGTAAATTCAGACAAGGAATTGACTCAGTTATTGTTTATAGAACATATGGAAAGTTATCTGTTTAAGACAGAGAAGAAAAAATGGTTGTCATTGTAAAATTGAGAAAGTCAGGTAGAGCTATAACAAGAGAAGGTGGTGGAAATCATAAAGCTTTGGCTGCATACAAATTATTTAAGTTCCTAAATTTTTTGATTTTCTTATAGACAAAGGGAGAAATTTGTGTGTGTGTGTGTGTGTGTGTGTGTGTGTTGTAGGAAAACAGACTTACATTTGAGAGATGGGTTCTCTATTTCCCTTTCAAACACCTTCCAATGTGTACTGTCTTGCAAAGACTATAAGGTTAAAAGCACATTTTCTAGTCATCCCTGAAGTTCTGGCTATGATGCATAAGCCCAAATGAACTTGCTCAATACTTGGTAAGCAGAAGTGAGACAGAAAATATGCTTCTCCTGCTAGAGCAACTTACACTGATGAATATTATCCTGGAGATACTTGATTTTTCTGTGGCAATATCAGCAGAAGTCCAATATAAAAGGCATTGACTTTGTGTGTAGCACTAGAGCTGGTGACAAAGGTGTGATGTGGTTTGGAATAGATGGAAATAGCTGACGTTATTGCTGGCCATGGTGGTTTTCTACTTTTATAGAATTTCTGATTGTGGTAGTGTCCATGTGATTCTGGAGTTGACAGATGAAATAGTTTTCTAAATTCCCTGGACACTTCTCAGCTGGTGAAAGTTTTCTTTGATGATTTGGTCATGAACTCTCAACTAAATATCTCCAACCTTTGGGTAAATGCCTTACTTCAAGTGGCTTGAAGGGATAATATACTCTGATTAAAAAAAAAAAAAAAACGAAACTCAATCAACCCTTACCATAGTATTGCTGCCAAAATTACACATGCATACAAAAGAAAGTACATCTACAATTTTTAATGTAACTAAAATGAGATTCTTAAATTATGAATAAAATAATCATGTAGGAAAATCTCTAAACATTACTTACTAAATATTACTTACTCTTAGCAAATCAAAATTTATATACTGTAATATAATTGAATAGTGCATGGGGCAAAATTAATTCTACTCTGAATATAAAACTGAGCTCTAATCAGTACATATTTTAAAAGTAGGTGTTCAGTTTATCAAATCCAGACAAGAAAGTAAGTCTTCTAGGTAGTATGTGGCTAGTCTATTGAAAGTTCTCATAGAAATATTTGATATTTTGCATTGTTATAAAGCTTTAAGGGTGATGTTCTGGAAAGTATATAGAGTGATATAAATTGTGTCCCAATCCAAATGCAGTAAGGGAATATAACTTTAATAGAAAAATTTAAATCAAAGCAATTTATAGATTTTGGCTATGTCCTTTCTCTCAAAAGAAGTTTACATTAACTTGTGGTTACATGTGTGCAGTCTACATTTGATTGCTCCCAAGTTATTTGAAAAGTCTCAAAACAACATTGAATGCATTTAAAAAAACATGTGTTACTGTTAATGTCTTTTGGGAAAACAACTCTAGTAAGTTACCTTGTGGTCATCAGGCACCAAGTCAGCTTAAATAGCAATAACCAGCAGATGTATGATAAAGGCAGGAAAACTGAAAGTCATTGGCTTCTACCTCCAGCAAAGTAACAGGAAATGAACAGTCAGGACAGATGGGCAGACTAAATATTCCACTCTAATTCTTTGACTAAATCAAGAAATATTGCACAGGATACACTTCATGCTGTTCATTTAAAACTGCTATAAACCACCAATATTGCAATGTGTTGTTTGTACAAGTAATGTTTTCATATGAAGTTATTAAAAACAAATGGCTTCGATTGTTCTATGAATTTTCAAACTGCCACTCAAGTTTCATACTTTCTAAGAAACTTTAAAATAAAAGAAATATATAGATTTTAGTTTTTTAAATTTATAAGATAGAAATCTAATTTAAAATTTTCTAAGTTTCCATAAAAGCCTACTCTCTAAGTCATAGATGTAGGGCTTAATATTGGACAAGAGCTTGCAATTTATTATCTCCCCTATCCTGACCTCTTAACCTAAACTATTTTAAAATAAGGAAATATTCTAAGATTAGTTGAGGAATTTGACTAAGCTCATACCTATGGTGTGTTAATAAGAGCATACCTAATGTGCGTTAAGTATGTCATAACTATAGACATGTTCTAGAAATACTCATATTTTCTTCATTTTTCTCTATATCTAATCTCTTAAATGTACATCTGAGATAGTGTTGCACAACAATGCATGCAGATGTTTTTACTTTGCTATAGACATACTTTTTGAAGTCAAGTTTGGGTCATGAGAAAGAAAATTTACAGACAGTTTGAAACTTAAATAAGTCTCCTGAGTGTCCTCCATGAACTAGTAGTGTTTGCCTCTTCATCCCCATTTATACTACTAAGGTGAAAACAACTCCACTTTTTTCTTAGTTATTTTTTCCTGAATTACATTAAGGTTAGTTAAAGAAAAGATGAGAGTAGTCCTTGTAATGTATTTAGAGGTATCCAGAATATTGGATAATAGTCCACTTCTTCTATTAGTTTGGCAGTTTACAAACAACATGAATGGCTCTGAATGGATTAAACAGAAGGAGAATAGTGGAGCTCTGTGATTCTGCAATACTAGAAACATCTCTCAACAGAGACATGGTCTTCAGACTTTGGTCATTGTCTATCACATTCCCTTATTCTGGATGCGGAAAGAAGGTGTTCAACAATTCCTAGCATAACCCTACTCCTTGCTCCAGTATTATTGCTCTCTAATTTTATGGCCTCTACAATACATCTAAGGATCTGGATTCTCTTCTATCTAGGTAACCTTCCTCTCTTTCCCCCAAGGAGCAGGTCCACGGGATTTTGCTTTACCTATTCTCCTTTTAATCTATTGTTTTGTCTATTCCTAGCTTTTCTCTGGGGTTTCTCTTTTGATTCTTTTCTTTTTATGCTTGCACTAACAATGTTGATTCTTCTCCAGACCCTGGGTGATGCTGAAAGTCTGAGATGGAAGGAAAAAGGCAAATCAAAGCATGATGATATTATGTAGGTAAGTGGAAAGTTAATTAATGTTAATTAATTACTTAATATTTAATATATAAGTAGAACATTTTCTGCTGCCAGTCTAAAACATCTCCAACTTTGGCCAAAGAAGGCATTCATTTTTATGTAGGATTGTTTTAGGAACTATTGAATACCTTCTCTCTTTCATCCAGGACAGGTAGGTATGACAGAAGCTGGCCAAGGTCCACAGACCATCTCTTACCATCTGGTATTGAAGAATCATAGAGCCCCCACTATGTACCACCTTCTTTTTGTCCATCCAGAGCTATTCTACAGCAGAATGTTCATCTGGAAACAGACGGTACCTTTAGCTTTTCACAGATTTATGAGCCAGCTCATCAAAACAGGAATCGTGTGAGGGCCTAAAGCACATTTTTAGGAAAATTATGCACTTAAGTCACTATATTTAGAATGATTTTGGATTAAAGAAATGAAAGATTCTTCATTGTTTTTGTGTTGGCATAGACAAGCAATGCTGAGCTTGACAAGTGTCGGTGATGAGTAATGTACAGGTTAGAAGAAAATACGGAAGGGATGAACATGCACAGAAGACACAGATGAGAAGCCAGGAATGCACATCACCATTGTCACCCGAACAATGCATCTGTACTCTTGTGAGGCAAATATTATGCTATCTGTATTCCTAGGATAAAAGTAGTCATCACGCACACACACGCACGCACACACATACACACACACACACACACACACATGCACTGCATGTACACATTGGTGTCAAAGTATTATGAAAACAAAATACAAAAAAGTGTAGGAAAATAGTTTATGTTATATGGGGAGCTAGCAATTATATACAATAAATTTTGAATAAACAAAGTAAAATATTATGGAGCTGTCTATATAAATTTCAAAATATGGAAAAACAAAAGACAAAAAATGGCTATCTTGACTTACTTAAAATTTAAATAACCAAAAGCACTTTAAGAAGAGTTTGCTGATTATTGGAGTTTACCACACCATTGTTTTGGGGGTAATGTTTAAGCCTAACTCTAAAAGAGAAGCAATTTTTAGTTCACAAAGAGTGTTTATATAATTTTAGCTCCATTTTCAGTCATTCGCCTCTTGTTTTGAGTCCTATGGCATCTTAAAATACTATCTATCTATCTATCTATCTATCTAAATTATAGTGAAAGACTTTGTGGCTGAGCATCATTTCCTTTGATGCTTTATGAACTACTACCTTGCCAATACAATTAGGATAGACCTTTTGGAATCTGAAGTTACTTAAAAATGTATTTAAATTAAAATTACTGCCTAAAACATAGAAAATAAAAGGTATTATGAAACAAGCAGTGGCTCAGTAGGCTGAAGCAGGAGGATCATGAGTTCAAATACAGTCTCAGCAAAAGCAAGGCACTAAGCAACTCAGTGAAGTAAAATACCAAATAGGGCTGGTGATGTAGCTCAGTGGTTGAGTGCTCCTGAGTTCAATCCCAGGTACTCCCTAAAAATGGTATTATGAAACAAGTAGTTCATTGAAGCAACAGAGAAATAAGAATTAGCAGAATAAGAAAACTGCTACATTTGGATATGTATGAATATTCAACCTATAGAGGAAAATATATCTTTACAGAAAATGAGATAAGTTAGAAAATAGCAATATTGTAGAACTTATTTGTATAGCAGGCTTTCATTTTGTTGAAATGAGGCCTTTCTTATACTAGTTTTTTTTGCAAAAACTGACACACATTGGAATTATTAGTAAATGGCCAGAATCAATATAAATTTTATGATAAACTTGACTTTTCCACACTGTGATATGATTCCTAACTAGGAATTTTTAAAGTTTAAATTTAAAAATCTTGAAAAGTTTACATTTCTACTTTACTAAATAGAAATGAGTAAAATAGTTACATAATAGTTGCATTCTCTAAGGCCACACAGCAGTGAAACCCATGATTCAACATGAGCGAAGTTATTTCTGAACAGTTTCCTTCAGCCCTAATGGAGAAGTATATGCTTATGTTAATTCAAAGATATTTTACCTTTTTAGTTTTCGCATTTCATTTGAATGTGCCTTTTGCTCTTATAACTGGAACAATGACTTTCTTCACACAATGTAGACTGCTGGAAGAATGGAGAAAAATGGTGTGCTCAGATAAAGCAGAAGTTAGGTAAACATATTGTGACTCATCAAGAATTGAATAGAATTGTCCCTTTTTCCTTGAGTAATAAAATCAAATACTTCCCCAAGGGAATAAGCCAATAATGAATTGGCTTATTCCCTTCCTACGTAATGAGAAAGAATCTTGGTCCATCTTCAAATTTATTACCATGAATTTCTATGAGATTCCACAACTTAAACAGACACTTGCTGAGAAGAATGCAATTATACTTATGATTTCCTTTGAATTCTGTGTTATTTAATTCATTTGCAGGAACTGGAACTGGGCAAGTCTACTCTAATCATAACTTCACAAAATGTACATCTTATTTCACTTTGAAAATAGAAAGAATTGTACAGAAGTTCAGTCACCTTCTTATAGTTTAGGTTTGTTGATTTTTGAATAAACAGGGCTAAAATCTTTATAAAATAAAGTAGATATTAAAATCACTTTTTAAATATATCATTTAATTGAACTGAAGTTTCTCTTCTTCATATACCAGAGTGAATGTTTGAAGGTCCAAGATGAATTTATCCAATGCTGTGGACTCATTTTATTTGGGCACCCACCTCGGCAACTGAGGTCACCTTTTGCAAGCTATAGAAGATAAAATGCACTTGTTAAAGAGCCATTCAGGACTAAAAAGGGACTGAGAAATCAATTGTAAATGGATATGGACAATTTTGTTTGTTCAGTTTATAAACAGTTTGAAAAGTTCTGAAACTTGCCCAGAATACTTTAGTTTAGGGACAGATGTGTAAAATTACATTAAAACAAGCTTAGTGCTTACATTGTCCCTGTTACAATATGACAGATATTTTATTTTGGTATTTTCACTATTTGCTGTTTAATTCAGATGTGACATTAAATATCTCTGTTTGCCTTTAACAATTAAAAATAATCATGCATATCATACAAAATATTCTTTTAACTAATTTATATTATTAAAGAACAAAACAACTTTTAAAGTCTGTAATTCATATCGTGCTAATTTGTGACTACAATTTATTTTTTAAGGTCTAATATCCAGATTTGTTTTAGATTCACAGAAAAATTGAGAAGATAGTGTACAAAATTCACATAATATCTTCACATCGAATTTTTCATATCAATACAAAAATACATTAGTATGGGAAGTTTGCCATGATGAACAAGCCAATATTGATTCATTAATAATTACAGAAATCTATACTTCATTCAGATTTCCTTAGGTTTTAATCTGATACCTATTTATACTCTAGTTTATATTCTGTAGTTTTTATGCCCACATAGGCTTCTCTTGGCTATGGCAGATGTTTAGATTTTCCTTGTTTTTGCTCATCATGAGAGTTTTAAGTGGTGCATATTAGGTATATTATGGAATGTTTCCCAGTGGGTATTTGTCTGATGTTTCTCTTATTATTAGGCTGAAGTGTAGATTTTAGGAAAAAAAAAAAAGTCAAAGAGATAAAATGCCAATGATATCACATCCTATCAAGAGAGTACAGTAAGGTTATTTTTTTCTTTTCCCTCCATTTCCACATTGAAAATTTTGTGAGGAAGGCACTATATATAGAATAGGTAGAGATTTACTCCTTGACAGCAGAGTATATACATAATTAATCTAAATGATTTATGCAAGAGACACTTATATATTTAATAATTTACTTATGTCAGATATTAATTTATACTGACATAAGTAAATTATTAAATATATATGTATATATATATATTGGATGTTTATACATATATATAATATATATGGATATTTATTTTGTACACTGGTTTTAGTTTAATCATATTTTATTTTTGTCATTGCGTACTCTTTCAGTTTGCTTCTAATGACATGAATTCATGAGTGGGAAGGTAATGAGTTTATTTTTGTAATGATTTAGTTTTATTTATTCATTTAAAATTTTTAGTTTAATTTTTGTTTTATAGCACTACCTTTCTTTTGGGAAATCACACGATGCTCCCAGCTTACATTTTTCATGACTCAGTTCTGCAGTCAGTTATTTCTCCAAAGAGTCCAGGATTCTTTTATTTGAGAATAGAATTAGAAACTAAAATCTGGCTGCTAGAAACGCTATTGCTACTGGTGTGATATTTCTACTGTCCTCTTACCTAACAGAATGATGAAATATTTGTATGTACTCTAACGTGTATATTTGTATATGTGTGGGGAGTCATCCTGACACGTGACTGGGTGACTCCTGATTTGGGTCTGAGGCGCTCTGGCCGTGTCGGAACTTTCCCGGCCCTCTCCTGATGAGAGAACCCGTCCGTGTGGGGGTGTGGCTGACCACTGACCCCAGGGGCCCAATTACTGACCCTGACCTTGGAGTGCGGCCCCCCCTCAACCTTCATTGGATGGAATTCTCCCCTGAATTTCTTGTTCCCCAATAAAAGGCTACTTCCTGGCGTGCTCCCTCTCTCTCTCTCCTGCTAGCCCTGAGTAATCCTTGCTGCCCTGCTGGGCGGTTAGAGTCGGGAATCAGAGAGGGGAGCCCTCTTGGACCTGGTCATAGTAAAAAAGGTAACTGAGTCTGTGTGTTTTATTTCAATCTCTGCTAGCTAACTTTTATGCCAAGAACCTCATTAATGAAACCATTGCGGTGGCCGCATGGTGGATATATGTATAAATATTTCTGTATAGACCCAATTGTTTGTATTTTGAGCTAAACATGAATATATACTATGTCTTCAACCCTAGAACATATTATATGTATGGATCCTTGTGCATCTTCTCCTTGCCTTGTGTATGGAAGGAGACCCTCATTGTTACACAAAATTACATATAAGAGTTTGTGAGGGGGAAAAGGGAAAAAAAAACACAAGGGAGAGAATTGAATAACAGCAGATGGGGCAGAGAGGGAAGATGAGAGGGAAGGGGAGGGGGGATAGTAGAGGATAGGAAAGTAGCAGAATACAACAGACACTAATATGATATTATGTAAAAATGTGGATGTGTAACCGATGTGATTCTGTAACGTGTATTTGGGGTAAAAATGGGAGTTCATAACCCACTTGAATCAAATGTATGAAAGATGATATGTCATGAGCTTTGTAATGTTTTGAACAACCAATAAAAAAATAAAATAAAATCAATTTTTTTAAAAAAATGAAAAAAAAAAAAGAAATCTGGGCTCCACTATTCACAGTCCACTTATTTAGTTGTTTAGTTTCAGGATATCACAATATCAAATGAGAAACAACTTGATCAACAGAAGTGAAGTACTAATATTTCTTAGAGACTATTCATTCTTTTTCAAAGCCACTTAGATCACCAACCTGGTACTCCCACATTCAGAGATTATTTTTTCTTAAATAATTTATAACAAAATTAGATACTTTTGTCAAAGTCTGCATTCCCCTCTTGAATTACGTCAACTTCCTATTTTTAAAAAGTTTGTATAAATTAGTCTTCACTCTTTTTCTTAATATATATATTTTAATATCTTTATTTATTTATTTTTATGTGGTGCTGAGGATCAAACCTAGTGCCTCACAAGTGCCAGGCAAGTGCTCTACCACTGAGCCCTAGGCCCAGCCCTAGTGTTCTCTCTTTGTGCTGCTAAATTTTATGGGGTTTGACCTAGGCAAAATGTTATGTGCCCATGAAAGGATGAACAGTTTTATGGCCATAAAAGTATTGAAAACTCAGAAAACAAAAAAGAAAAGCTGAATATGATCCACCTATCCAACCTTTCCCCACTCTTCCAGAACTCTTTGCAACCACTGATTTTTTTTAAATGCCAGCATAGTTCTGTCTTTCCCAGAATGTTATATAGATGGAATCAAACAATATATAATATATAATATAACAATATATAACATTTTATAATTGACTGTTTCATTTAGCAGTGTGCATTTAAGGTTTATTCTTGTCTTTTCCTGGCTTGTTAGCTCACGTATTTTATCACATATTCTATTGTATGGTTGTATTATAAATTATTCATCCATTTACCTTTTGAAGGACATGTTAGTTGCCTTCAGTTTTTGATGATTATGAATAAAACTGCTCTGAAAACCAATATGTTTTTAAATGAATCTAAATCTTCAGATAAGTTGAGTAAATACCTTGGAGCTTGGCTGCTCTGTCATATAGTGAACTTTAGCTTTTAAGAGATGGTCAAGCAATGATAAAAAGTGGTTATACCATTTTTATTTCCACAACAGTGAATGGGACTTCTTCATGTTTCACATATAAATCAGTTTTTGTTATTATAAGATTTTTTGGATTCTAACATTTCTAATAGGTAGGTAGTGGTAACTCATTATTTCAATTTGCAATGGTCTAAGGAAAAATGACTTTGAACCCCCTTTTATATACTTATTTGGGATTTGTTTATCTTCCTTGTTGAGATTTCTCTCCACAATTTTTTCCCATATTTGTAATTGGGCAGTTCATGTTCTTACTTTAGACTTTTAAGATTTTTAATTTGGAGGCTAGGCTCAGCCCAGATCTTCCCACACCAGCCTGGGCAGAACACAGGCTCACAGTAGGCCTGGATCCATCCCTCCACCAACAGGCACCCACAGGAACACAGCCTTCTGCCCAGGACTGCCCCTTCTGACCAGTAGACTACTGTGGGAGATTAGGCCTGGCCTAGATTCAACCATACTGACTTCCACTGGACTCAAGTCAAGGGTAGGTCCAAGTTTTCCCCCTCACACTGAACTGGGAGCCTAAGCCTAACCCACATGCATCTTGGAACACTGAAGGCATCACCATAGCCTTCCCCATGCATTAGCCCCTATATTTTTGACAATAGACAGGGCCTAGAAGCAGCTGCATCTCAGAGCAGGCATCCCAAAGAGAATGGAAGGTCCACCCTTTCAGCCCCATCTCTGAAAGACATTGCATTCATCTTGGGGCACCTCAACTATTATCTCAAGTTACCTTGGCCATTACCACCACTACCTTTAGTAGCAGTAGCATACATTGAGGGACACCAGCAGGGTCTGGAAGCCCAACATCAAGGTGAGGTACAGATAATCTGCCTGGGTATTACAAGAATATAGGATAGAAAGTATAATAGATCCACACTGCAAGAAAGGAAGACACATAGACAACATGAAAAAGCAAGGGATTAAAGTGCCCCAAACAAACCAGGACATTATAATAATAGAACCTATAGACAGCACAGTTGATGAAATGTCAGAAAAGGAGTTCAGAATGTTTATAATTAAAATTATCTGTGAATTAAAGAGTGACCTAAATGAGCAAATACAGGCAAAAATTGATCATTCTAACAAAGAGATAAGACAGCAAATACAGGAAGGAAAGGACTACTTCAAGAAAGAAATAGAGACTCTGAAAAAAAAGACACAACAGAAATCTTTGAAATGAAGGATACAATAAACTAAATAAAAACTCAATAGAAAGCATAACCAACAGACTAGATCACTTGGAATAAAGAATATCAGATAATAAAGACAAAGTATACAATCTGGAAAATAAAGTTGATCACATAGTGAAGATAGTAAGAAACCATGAGAAGAACATCCAAGAATTATGGGACAGCATCAAAAGACCAAATAGAAGAAGGCACAGAGTTTCAAACCAAGGTATGCAAAATCTCTTCAATGAGATAATAGCAGAAAATTTCCCAAGCATAAAGAATGAATTCGAAAATCAAATACAAGAGGCTTACAGGACACCAAATGTACAAAATTACAACAAATCTACACCAAGTCACATTATAATGAAAATACTTAGCATACAGAATAAGGATAGAATTTTAAAAGCCACAAGAAAGAAGAATAAAATCACATATAGGGGGAGACCAATTTGCATCTCAGCAGATTTTCAACACAAACCTTTAAAGCCAGGAGAAAATGGAAAAACAGGGGTTGGGGATGTGGCTCAAATGATAACGTGCTCGCCTAGCATGTGTGAATGTGTGAGGCACTGGGTTTGATTCTCAGCACCACATAAAAATAAAGATATTGTGTCCACCTAAAACTAAAAAATAAATATTAAAAAAGAAGAAAATGGAACAACATATACCAAGCTCTGAAAGAAAATGGATGCCAACCAAGAATCTTAAATCCAGCAAAATTAAGCTTTAGATTTGATGACAAAATAAAAGCCTTCCATGACAAACAAAAGTTAAAAGAATTTGCAACTAGAAAGCCCTCACTATAGAACATTCTCAGACAAATATTTCAAGAAGAGGAAATGAAAAACAATGATGAAAATCAGCAGAGAGAGGTATTATACTAAAGGAAAATCTAATCAGAGGAGAAACCAAGTTTGTTAAATACCAAAAATAGCTGGGAATACAAATCGTGTCTCAGTAAGAACCCTGAGTTTTAATGGCATTACCTCACCAACCGAAAGGCATAGACTAGAAGATTGAATAAAAATAAAAAGACCCAACAATACACTGCCTCCAAGAGACACAGCTCATAGAAAAAGACATCCACTGACTGACGGTGAACAGTTGAGAAAAATTATACCACTCACACAGATTGCGGAAGCAAGCAGTGTTACCATCCTCATATAAAATAAAGTAGACTTCAAACTAAAGTCAATCAAAAAGGATAAAGAAGGACCCTCCATACTACTCAAGGGAACCATACACCAACAAGA